GATAGATGTACTGAATATCCAATGAGTAAAAGAAAAATGTATTAACCCTTAATCAACAAAAAAATACATTTTCAAAAAATCTTTCTTATTCTCTAACCTGTAATTTTTTAATCTGTAACTAAATAACTTTGTACATCTTTTAGAAAGCATATCAAGATAATACGCCTTAGTTAATTTGAAGACATGTACTTTATAGCTTTTGTAAAATATTTTGCGGGAGCGTGTCCCTGTCCTTTGATATAAACACGGTGGCCAGCTAATCAGCGCGCGTGTTCAAATATTTTATAGTGCAAATTACAGTTGGAACATAAGCTGTAGGAAAATATTTGGTTTGTGACAGGGAAAATGCTTGTTAGTACACCAAATAAATCACTAATTACTAACTTAGATCTGTCTATCTATGTTTTATTGATTGTTACGTGAATAATTTTGGTCTATTAACAAACATTTTTCCCGTCACAAACCAAATATTTTGCTACAGCCCATGGTTGGAAGAGCCTACGTAGCAAGCAGTTGATGTAATGTATTCATAAGAATACAATGAATCACACAATAGAATGCATTATATTTTCTGAATACATTACATAAACTTAGTAATATTTATAATATAACTAGATTATTACGCGCGCTCTGATTGGCCAAAAACCAATGAACTATTTCCCGATGGGCTGCACGCTCGCGCACGCTGGTCTCAACGGACGCTCGCCTTTTTTCTCTAAATTTTCAAACCCGATGGCGTCAATAGCGCGCGCACGAGCGAGATGGGTGATATAACGCGCGCTCTGATTGGCTGAAATGCCTATGAACTATTTGCCCATGGGTCGCACGGTAGATTTTTGGTCATATTATAAATCAGTTAGACGACATAAAAGCGCTCGCCCATTGCGATATAGACGCACCTGAGAAAATATAAAAAACTCTTAACAAGCTAGAGTGACACTCGGCTTCGCCTCGTGCCACTCTTTCGCTTGTTAATCGTTCTTTATATTTTCTCTCGTGCGTCTATATCGCTATGGGCGCGCGTTTTTATGTCGTCTAACTGATAAGTATAAATATCCTATTTATATTATAAATTGACAGATAAAACATTTTCGGCTATTTCTGATTAGGCCGGAAACAGCTCGGCGGTTAGATTCGAAAGTACATGCGGGTTTTTATTTTTCTCACTTTCTACCTTGGATTTTTTTAAAATTTTGACACTTCCATTTTTGGTTTTCCTTTCTGGTATTGACTAAGAAATTATAAATAGCATATAAGCGTTCTTTATGAAAACGTCATTACTAACCGTTACTAAAGGTCAGTGCCTTTTGAAACCATAACTTTGAAGTACTATTGGTAATAAAGTATGAAGTATTTTTACATTGAAACAATGGCATTGCTGACTTCATTGGTAACTCTTTCAAAAGGTAATCCTACGCAATTAAGGTCGTTCTGTTTAATTTGGCTAATATTATTTGTTTCATACGGATGATATGAATACATGATATTCAATAGTTATTCATTGGTTCACTCGAGAACCTCCAAGTGTGCTCTACGTGTCCAGTGGAGGTACAGCGAGACTTGTGTGGGATTACAATGTCAAAAATAGAAATGCAATGTTTGATCCGTATTCACCAGAGTGGGCTCTGTATGATACAAGTGGATATAGAATAGTTATAGGCGTCGAGGATGGTTACAAAGGATGGAAGTTCGTTATAAACAACAAATGTCTCCCAAACCTGCGTGGTCGAGTCAGTAAAGAGTCCACTGCTACTCTTGTCATCTCTAATGTCACCAAAGTTGATGATGCGATATATGTGTGTAGTCTGCTGTTATTAGCGGGATCACCAATAAGAAGTAAAGTACAACTGGTTGTTACAGGTAAGGTAAACATTCTTTGGTTTACACCAAAACGTTAAACGCTAAACAAATAGGTGACAAACCATTAAGACGTATGTCGGTATACTAACTGACTGCATTCCATACCAAATATCATATACTTAAAGTGTACTTGAATGTTTTATGATTAATATATTCACTTGGACACCATTAATACCAAACTAATACTTTTAATAGCTCCCAACTAATGATTAATTAATTTGTTGCATCCAGAACGTCCTCGCTTTACTACTCCTGTCAATATATCTACGCCTATCAATGAGGGATCAAGTCTGTGCATCCGATGTTCAGCAGCTGCAGATCCTATGCCCAACATAACGTGGGTACGAATTATAAAGAACCCAAAATTAATCAGT